CCCCCCGAGGGAGGTGGGGGAGTCCTGGAGGTTCCCAGGGGAGTCCTGGATGTTCCCAGGGGAGTCCTCACCAGCCCTGGAGGTGCCCAGGGAAGGACTGAGCACTCTGGGCTGGGGGACACGAGGTCCCCCAGGGGCACAGGGTGGGCTGGATGATCCCGGGGGGCTTTTCCAACCCAAATTATCCCCTGATTCCCCCTCCCAGCCGAGCAGGAGCAGGAGCCCAGCCCGGAGCACACCATCTACTCCCAGGTCCAGCGGGTTCAGGTGAGGCTTCCCCCTCGATCCTGGGGGGGAAAAAAGGGTCCTTCAGCCCTGGAAATGCTCCTTTAGCAGCGGGACCCCGGGATGGAACATGGGTACGACCCCCGGGGGTTTTTCCTGGGTTGGGGGTCGTGTGGTGGTTTGAAAACCTTCAGAAATCCGATTTCTAAGTTCAACCTGCCCCAGTGCGAGAGGGTTTTCAGACAAAACACAACCACTCAGCATTAGGGGGGAAGGGGAAAATACTCACAAAGGTTTATTTACACACACATTTATATAGGTAACAACTTAGCTATCACTTCTACGATGAAATAATATATTTACATCGGGTTAAATTTCTCTTTTTCTTCAACAAGAGTCCAAGAAGAAAAGAGAAAAGTCTTTCTGTCACTCCTCAGGTCACAGTTCCTTTATTTCAGTTTCTGTGGGATTAGTTAGTGCCTTTCATTTTTTAAGGCAGCAGGAACTGTTGATCGGTCCCGTATCAAAAACAAAAACTCCTGAGAAAAAGCCTTTTTCAAACCGCCACGGGGGGTCTCGGGCAGCAGCAGCACCCGAAGGTGTTTTTTGGTGCCTCCTCCGCGCTGTGTTTTGGCCACGGGGTGTCAACAGAGCCCCGCGGGCCGGGGAGGGACAGGGTGACATCACCACGAGGGTGGGAGGGTCATCCACCCAACCCCCGTGTTCCAGGGGTCAGCCCGGTCGCCGTTAATTTGGGAATAAATTTGGGAACCGCTGGGAATAAATTTGGGAACCGCCGGGAATAAATTTGGGAACCGCTGGGAATAAATTTGGGTGCTTCGGCTTCCTGAGCCCCCCGGACTCCAGCGCAGCTTTGGGGACGCTCCGGGCAGTTTTTCCCCTTTTCCCCGTTCCCGTTAAAGCAAAACCGGGCGGAAAACGGGTGGGTGGAGGGAGGGATCTGGATTTCACTGCTCGTCCTTTGTCCCCCCCTTCCTGCAGAAGCCAAAGGAGCCCCCCAGCCCCGACCCCAACTCCTGCACCACCATCTACGCCGCGGCCACGGGACCCCCCGGCAGAGCCCCCCGAGCCCCCCCGGAGCCCCCCACCCTGCAGGGACCCCCGCCCCTCTCCCAGGTAAGGGACACCCACCCCGGCCGGGCATCCCCCTCACCCTGGCACCTCCCTGACCCCTTTTGCCCCCCCTCACCCTGGTTGGGCATCCCTGCGGGGCGACCCTGGCACCTCCCTGACCCCTTTTGCCCCCCCCGATCTTTGCCGCAGAGCCCCCCCCGGGATCCCACCACGGTTTATGTCGGCGTGATGATGCCCAGGCCCTGAGCTTCTGGGGGCATCGGGCAGCTGCCCAGCCCGGCTCGTGGGCACCAAATCCCGCGTTTCCCGGTGGGATTGACCCCGCTCGTCCCTGGGGAATCGACGCAAACCCCCCCCCGGCGGGAGCGGCTCGGCGGTGACGGCGCCCGGAGAAGGGAGGAGTGACCAAGAAACCTCCTCTGGCTGTGCCTGGAAGCTCCTGGATGGATCCTGGAGCGCTGGGAGGAGGGAGAGAGACTCTGGATCCGACCCCGCAGCCGGGAGTGAGACGGGGAGTGACTCGACCCCTGGGAGGGGAAGGATCGGCGGCACCGGGAAGGGGCGGCTGGAGGAGTTTTGGGCTCCGACCTCGCTCTTGCCCTGTGGGTTTCCACGCCAGGAACTCGTCCCGTGGTCCTGCTTTCCTTGGGGACACGCAGGGACACGGGGGTTCGACGGGAGAAAAACGAGAAGTGGTTTTATTTCTGAGCTCTGCGACAGGTTACAAAAACTCGGGAGTTTTGTCCCAAGGAGAGTTTTGCAGCCCCTGCAGGCTCAGCCTGGCTCTGCATCCCCTGTCCCACCGAATTCTCCCGTCTCCGTTTTTCCCACTGATCTCTGTGGGAACAGCCGAGCTTTTCCAGACGGACTTAAAGCCGAATTTGTGGCTGGGAGGAGGAGGAGGAGGAAGAGGAGGAGGAGGAGGAGGAGGAGGAGGAGGAGGAGGCAGCCCCTGCTCACCCCCTGCCCTCAGCAACTCCTGGTTCCCAGTGGAAATATCCCGTGTGGGGATGTTGGAGGTGGCCTGGATGAGGGAGCAGGGCTGTAAAATCCAACTGGACCCAGTCTGGGGTGTTTTATAATCCCAGCACAACTCAGCTCTTACAGCAGGTCTGGCCGTGTGGACCACGGAAAGGAGAATAAATTGGGAATAAATCCCTTTGGAAGGGGCTGCTGGTGGGAGAGTGTCACGGGGCGGATCCACTGCTGAGGTGGAACAGGAACCAATGTTTTTGTACCTCCCCAACTTCCCCCTTCCGTGCCCACAGAAAAGAACTGAGCTGCCTCCCTGGAAACGTCTGCAAACAACCACTTCCCCCAAACGTGGGGGCAGGTGCAGGGAAGGGCAGGGCAAACCCTCACCCCTTGTGCCTCTGAGATGGTGTAAAAGCCCCAAATTCTGTCAAGAGCGGAGTCCTGGGGCTGCCCAGGGGGGTGGGGGAGTCCCCAGCCCTGGATGTGGCACCGAGTGCTCCGGGCTGGGGGCGAGGTGGGGATGGGGCACGGGGTGGGCTGGATGGGCTGGGAGGCGTTTTCCAGCCTCAGGGATCCCGGGATTCTGGGATTCTTGGCCGGACAAACCCCCTGAGGCTCTGGGTGGAGCTCCTCGCTTGTCTTTGAGGTAGAACACCAAGAAAACTCCTGCGAGCGCCGCGGCTTCGGCCACGGCCACGACCCCGACCCTGGCGAGGCTGCTGGAGCTGCCTGGGGGGAGAAAAAGGTCCGGTAACAACATCCCCGAATAGATCCGACCCTTCCTGGCACCAGGGGCACGGGGAACCTGGCACAGCTCTGCCCCAACACCCCCCCGAGCCCTCGGCACCACAACCCAGCCCGGCAAAGGGGACGAGCGGCTGGGCAGGAGCAGCAGCAGCACAAGGACACTCCCGGCTCGGCCCCTCCCGGCCACGGCCACCCCCGATGGTCCTGGGACCTCGAGGGACCTCCGGGGGGGGCTTTTGGGGCACCAAATCCCACGTTGGGATTTCCACCCCCGCCCCGCCCTCGGCTCTGCAGCACCAACGGATCCGCTGCTCCCACCCCAAAGCGGGAATTTTGGGGGGCACCCGCCCTGCCCGAATTCCCCGGGGGGGGGGCACGGACGGCACAGGGGTGCCCGGGGCACTGCCCAGAGAGCCCGAAGGGAGGAGATGGACCGGGCTGCTCTCGGGGTCTCCATCTCTCCTGTGCCAGCCGGGCATGGGGAGCTGCCCGGGGCACGGGGGGACACGAGGGGCGAGGGTGGGCACGCACGGGGGGGTTGGCAGCTCACCAGTGATGGGAGAGTCGGTTGCGTTTCCTGGGTGCACGGAGAGGGGAGAGAAGAGGGAGAGAAGAGGGAGAGAGGGGAGAGAAGAGGGAGAGAAGAGGGAGGTCGGTCAGTGCCCGTGCCGGGGGTGCCGCTTCTCCCCGCACACCCAGCACAGCTCGGGGGCAAAGCTGGAGCCGCGGGGAGCGGGACCCAGCCCAGCCCAGCGCCCTGCCCG